TGTGAAATATATCGACAGCAGCAGATTCTTGCAAAGGAACTATAGATCCCTGTGATATTCGGCCCCCAGGACACATCAAAGTTAAAAACGGTCTTTGCCCTGCCGAGTTGTTGGATGAGTTAAGCACATATTTAGAAAGGGAAGACATTAAAAACTGCCTCTCCTTCTGTCCTGCCTCTCAGACCAGGCTGAATGTGTTAGGGTCACAATGTTTGGGTCCAGCCACTTCTGTAAAGACTACTGTTCCTTCCCCTCCTCCTAGAAATGTTACTCCTTTGATGGTAAAGACTGCATCCAAATACATCCTTATGTCCTTGTGCTAAACACAAACATTACTTCTGTGCCTCTTGGTTAGTTGGTTGGTTGTTTTTGGTGAAAACTATAAGAAATGTTAAATACATTATCAGTTGCCTGCATTTTAGAAGAGCAATGTCAGGAAGCAACTGTGTTTCTAACTGCATCTCAGCGCACACTAAAGCATCTTGACCTTCATGCTTGTCTTGCTAAGTGGGGAGCTAGGCAGAAACATTTTGCAATCTGTAGCAAAATGGCAAGGAAACAGGAAGAGTAATAAAAGGAAAAAAAATAAGTTGAAGATTAATAAGTTTAATACTTCGAAATATCAAGTCAGTGGTTCTTAAGGTGTTGAGAGGCAAGTAAGGCAAGAATAATATCAGAAATGCCTCGGAAGCACATTAAGCCTGATCATGTCATCCACACCCCTTCCTTCACACCCTTTCCTCTACCCTTTCCTCCACTCCCCTTGTTGACACCCATCCCATTACAAATCAGCAGCAACCAGCACTGTTACCTCAGGTGTCATAGTGCCACACACCAGCATCCTGGGTGTCACCTGCTATGTCACTGGAAATGCAGAATCTTAAACCCCATCACACTAACTGAAAAAGAATCTGCACTTAACAAAAGCCCAAGTGATCCAAACACACAGGGAAGTCAGAGGAAGCGCGGTGCACGGTGCCTGTGGCTTGTTCAAATGATTGCATAGAGGTTATTCTCTGGGTCTTTAAATAAAACAGTTAAATAAAGTTAACATCTATGGAGTAAATATCATGTCAAACATGGCATTCATCCTTCAAACATTGTCTTTTTTTAATCTTCACAACAACCATATGGGATAGTCGCTGTTTTATTCTCATTTATTGGTTGTTATACTGAGAAGCAATGAGACTGAGCAGATCACCCAAATGTGGTGACTGGTGGAGCCAAGATTCAGACATAGGAAGCCTGGGCTCTTAGCTGCTACCCAGTGTCTGCTGTACATGAGGCTGCCAACTTTTTAATGCAAACTAATTATTTGAGAATTTATTTAAAGTTATAATTTGAAATTAATTCCTGTTCCTTCATAGAAAAAAATAAAAGAGATATACTCCATTTTGCTTGTAATTTTTGACTTTCAAGTGCAATTCTGAAGAAGTCTAGAAATTCCTGTTTTAGTTGGAAAAAATACTAAAACTATGACAGCTCATCCAAACTCGAGGGGTGTTAGTAAGTATGGGGTATTCTTAATATCAGTTATACCTCAATCAAGTTTTCTGAGTTGGGACTGAGTTTTTTTGAACCCAAGGCTTTGACTTACAAAGCAGGCACTCTACCACTTGTGACACTTCTCCAGTCCTTTGTTCTGGTTAATTTGGAGATGGGGTCTCACAAACTATTTGCTGACCTTGAACCCTAATCTTCCTGATCCCAGTCTCTCAAGTAACTAGGATTACAGGTGTGTGCCACTAGTACCCAGTTTCCTTTTCTTTTCTTTCTTTTTTTTTTTAATGAGGAGTGGTAGCAGAGCCCAGTGCCTCTGTACTCCCAGCTACTCAGGGAACTGAGTCCAGGAGTTCAAGAACAGCCTGGGAAGCATAGAAAAACTTTCTAAAAAGGAAAACAAAGAGGAAAGAATAGTATACTTTTAAAAATTAACTTTTCCTATAACTCACCAAAAATTTACTGTTTGCCTGTTGGGTCAACATAAGATGTTTCTGGTATTATAAAGAAGGTTATCTGTCAAGACACATAAACTGTTTGGCACACAACTCAAATTAGATATTGCTTTTCTACATTTGATATAAATACTTATTTACCATGAGCCTGGTTTATAGAACTGTAGTTGAACATAGGTACTACACAGTCAGTACCCAAGCAAGTGATGACTTATTTTAAGCCAGTGACTCCCCAAATGATTTAGTTCTGAACTATTTCTCCCAGGCTATGCAAATTCTGACAGTGGTCAGGGCAGAACGATCCAGCCAAGTGTTCTTGTCTTGACAGTGTCTCATCGGTGTTGGTCTCAGGGAGGCTAGGTTCCCCAGAATCATATCTCAGAGAAGAGTTGTGCCAGTGGGCCTGAGAAGACATGATTTTCCCTGTAATGAATTTCACCAGCTACTCGAATCTAGGACTTCACTCTTCAGGCAACACTAACATTACAGTGCCTAACTCTTAAGTGATAGGCAGGGGCAAAATCAACCCAGGGCTGCCATCAAGCCAAGGAGTGAGGGCTGAGAAGCACCCAAGAGACATAGTCCACATAGCAGTCAGCATTTCTCGGTGCTGACAAGTGATAGAGTGCCAGTGGTCATCCCCTTTGGACACTTAGAGTCCCACTGGTTTCATTAAGCCCAAATACTTGTGACGATGGCTAAATACGGTCTGCATCAGTTTTGTTTTGTTTTTTTACCCAGATGGAAAAATCTGACAGCATTTCTTCTTGTAAATGTCATACATTTACAACTCTATCATCATAATTTCCTTCACTTTTTTACCCAAATTCTTCTGTTATCCAATTCAAATGCCTTTTTACAGGCTCCAAATATACCCAGCATGCCTACAGAACCAGAATGCTCCATTCATCTGGGCGTAATTACCTGCCTCTCTTTCCATTCAAATGGCGTCATGCCACATAAAATACTTCGTGCCATGATGTCTCCCTGCTCTTAACCTTCACATAGATAACTGCTGCTGCTTTATCAGGAGTGGAAAAGATTCTGATGTGAGTCCTACATCATGATTTCATGTGATCCCTGTGCTCTGGCCTTTGATTTTCCCGAGAGAAGAGATGCACCAGCAGGAATGAGCAGCCACAGTTTTAAGGAAAATTACATAAAACTGTAGCTACCATATATTTTATGCGAATCTATAACAATATCACATATAGTAATGTAAATGTTTAATGGCGAGATAATCGTAAGTGAATGAAAGTGTATAAACACAGATCAGACGTGCCATCCTGTGTGCTTTTGCAGACTTGAAGCTCTGAGTTAGGTGCTAGCTGTTCTAGTGAAAGTAATTTAGTTATAGTTGTACTGACTTGTGAGCAGTCATTTATATATTTTTAAATAACTTCATGTTTGTAGAGTAGAAAGCAAGATTGGGAAAAATATACAAGACATCTGAAAAGCTTTTAAGGGTTCTTAATGTCATGTTTCTTTTTTTCTATTTTTTGTATGTGCTTTCCAAGTTCCCTTTAACAAATCACTTCTCACTGTCTATTCATCTTGGATTTTCTGCTGCTTTCCTTATAACTCAGTCTGGATTTTAGGTCCCACTGTTGATTCTCTGGCAGATGCTTCTATAAATCTGACCACTTCTGAAATTTTTCCCAATAAGGTATGTTAGAGCCTTACAAAGCAGCCCACTGTTTTTATACCATCTTGGTAGTTTATAGACGTCATCTCAAGGGAAATGTCTTTTTGCTAACAAGTCCATGTCATGCGAAAATTCTTCTACATTACAAAACCAGAGTAAAGGTGCTATATGTAGTGGTTTTTTAAAGAGTACACTATACACAATCTTCTTGAAAAGTTCTTCAACTAAAATATCTTAAGAAATCCTCCAAACTCATAAAGAGAAACATAACATAAAAATATAAAAGTATTTATATCATTCTAAAAGTACCATAAACAAACTCCAAAGGTAAACCAGAAATATGAGGAAGGTCTTTTCCACATATTTCACGTAAAATGAGAGTTTTGGACTATAACATGAGCTCTTTACAGGAGGCATTATGAACAATCTCACTGAAACATGAGCAAAGACCGTGGCAGAGCAAACTACCGAAAACAAGAGTACGGGAAGAAGTCCTGCTTCATTCGCAATTAAAGAAATGCAAACTAAAACAACAGACTAAGGAAAAAAAGACTTTATGAAATCCAGTTTTTTGGTATCAGTCTTCCATTGTAAACTTTAAAACAAAGGGTGTTTTGTAAATACCTGTCAAAACTTGAGCAAAAGACAAAAGAGTCGACTTAGAACTTATCCTTCTGATACATTCATGTGAGTAAAAAATGCTCTGTCTAAATATGACCACTCAGATATTTTGTGGCAGCCAAAAGGAAAATTGAATAAAAGCAGATTCAGGTCCATTAGTAGAAGACTGGTTAAATAAGTTACCATATGTCAGTACAATGAATGAGATTTTGTATAATCGTCAAATGAAGTGGATTTATTAAGCTGATGTAGGAAGTTCTGTTAGTCATAGTATTGAGTTAAAACTGGCAAGCGGGATGATATGCTGTATAAAAACATGTATGCATTTTTTAAAGTTCTAGAAAGATGTACCAAAAACCACTAGTTATAAGTATCTCTGGGAAATGAATCCCGAGACAAAAATCAGAAAGGGTGAAATATTAACTTGTACTTTATAGTCTTCTGTATCAACTTGGAGATATTACTAAAAGAAAACAGGGGAAAAAAAGAATGCATTTGGTAAAGTGATACAGTCTCGTTTTCTGTGCCTCTGATATGTGTCTAGAAGGCATTGGGGAGGATGTTGAACACAGCAGGAAGAGGATGGAGTCCCAGGATAACCACTTCGTACAACCCATGTCTATATAAGGAAAAATATGTTCTTGATGTGGAACTGATGGTCTCACCCTCTTCCAAAAAATTCCCACTCAGTATGCAGTATTAGGGCTTACTCCGTAAATTAAAAAATAAATATCTGAGCACATTTCTGGATCGTGTTACTCTTTTCTTTTTTTCCAGAGTTGACAGGTGACAGCTTGACCTAAAATGGCTGGATTTTTTTCGAAGTGAGTCACTGAAGCCATCCCAGAAAGTCACCACCAGGTGAGTGTCTTGTACCTACAGCACTGTACCTGTCAATAGCTCTTCCGAGACTCAGCAGTGGCGCTGGCACAAGAAGCCACCACACCATTGCTCTGTGAAAGAAATAGAAGAAGCAAAAAATAATGAAATCCCAGTCTGCCTCCAGCTTCTCCAAGTGCAGGTTGAGAGCATATTAATTTATATGATTTTAAAGACAAAGTGTCAAAATTACGAAGCTACTTCCATTAGTGTGCCACGCAAGGGGTTTGCAATCCCTCAGCAGAGACACTTTGTGGCCATACCACGGGTGATAGCTTGGAGCTGTGTTCCCCTAGCTGGGGAGGACTCAGCAGGGCCAGCAGGGAAATGACAGTGCTCTCACCAGCCATGTAGTGGGGACTATGCATCCTCACTTCCAGAAGGCTAAAAAACATAAACCTGAAAATTCGATCTGCTCACCTTCAGAAAACCTACAGCTCAACATCTCACTCTTGCAAACTTCTCCCTTGCTCCAGTGACAAGCCAAGAGAAAAGAGTGGTATAAAATTGAGGGTGAAGCCCCCTCCACCCCCCACCCCACCCCCTCGTAAGCCTCCTGCAGTCCACCCCTGTGATGGGCATGAGTGACTTGGAGTCACAGAGCAGGGCATTAATCTCTCAGAGTTGGGTACATAGAGCAGGAGGGTGATCTAGGATGGTTTTGTCAGTCCAACTCCTTTCTCATGGGCTTATCTGATATTTTTCATAAAAGTAATCCTTGATTTGTCCAAGTAATAGGGGGAAAAACTCAAGGGGCAAGCCCTCAGCTTCCCCATTGTCTTCAAGGAATTTGAAAAAGTAGTTTGTACCATTGTGAATGTTGTGATTTCGTCTTTTCAAAGAAGCGGCTAGTTAGGTGCTAGCCAGGCAGATAAATAATACAAGTGGTGCTGTTCTTCTTTGTGTAGTTGGCAAGTAGGAAAAAATTCCTGGAAGGCACTCCATGGCGGTGGTGTTAGGAGACTATTTAGGACTGCTTTAATCTCAGAGATAAATATAGTCACATTCTGCACAGTTCTGACACTGGATATCTTTAGGGTTGGTTTTTGGTTTTTGTTTTGGGGGGCGGGGTGTGCATGTCTTGTTTTGCTTTGTTTTGTTTTGATTTGTGTTGAGGTATAGATAAGCCTGGGCATCTGAGCAGTGCATGTTTCAGCAAACAGTACAGTAAAATGCATCCCCCAGTTAGGAAGATGGTAAGATGCCAGTTTGTGACAGTCACACCCTTATGGAACACTTCCAAAATGACTATGACATCTTGCTTAAGGATAACTAAACAATGAAAAAGGCACATTTTTCAATTTTTAACTTTTTCAATCCTTTAAAGTGTCAGGTCAGTAAGCAAAGCATACTTTATTCTCAGAGCTATTTTTGTTTGTTTGTTTGTTTGTTAAAAACTCTGATACTTTACCAATTCGACCACTAACTATGAACTTTGTCCTTCGTTTACTGTGACGTAATCTCCAAAGCCCCATTTCAAGCTATGGACACGGTACTGAAATACAAAAATCATTTGCTTGCAAAAAGACCTTCTGACCTCTGTAATATCCCTTTAAAACTTTTACCAACCTACAGGTACAGAACTCTGATCTCTTATTGATTTAAAGCAGTAATGTGCAAACAGCATTTCAGAGCTTGTTTTATAGGTCCAAAGACTTTGTGTTGAAATCTACTCAGGACAAATGGAGAAAGGCTGATTAGTACATTTAACAGAATAAGGAACATATTCAAAGGCTTAATGTGTGTACACCCCACCATCCAATATGGTAGGCACGTACCACATGTGGCTATTCAATCAGTTCTTTAATAAATATAAGTAACAACAAAACTTAATTGTAAATTTTAAATTAATTTATAATTAAATAAATTTAAAATTCATTTGCTCAATTGCACTAGCCACATCTCAAGCTTTCCTACATGCATGTGGTTAGTGGACAGCTAAGATGTAGACTGCTTCTCCTTTACAGAAAGTTCTATTGGACAAGACTTCTGTAAACAAATTTATTGGTAATATAGTGAATTTTCAATGCCTCTTGTTAGGAAAATTTTATGCTCTATTTAACTTACATGGAAATTTTAATATTTTTGAAATTCCAACTTTCTTAGTGCTATATTACCCAGAATATTGCATGCTCAGGTTGTATCTAAGGACTCACAGGCCTCCATCCTTTTCCTGTTAAGGGATTTAGTATTTTATGTATTCTTGTAATGTTCTAGGTTCTTGGTTTCTTAAAAAATTTGTTAAAAGAGGTAGTTACATTTGTAGTGAGCTCAGGACTAATAGATAAGGCTGTCAGCCCTGTCATCTAGGTTTTCATTTTCCTGCAGTTCTAGATGTGTCTCAGTTGTACTGACTTAAACAAAGCAGATTTGTAGTTTTTAAGCAATTTGGAGAACCAAATGAATTAAGCACTATAATACTTCTTTTTCCTTTTCTTATGAAAATATACATGCTATTAGAAGTCCCTCTTTTTGTTTGAAATATATATATATATATATTATATTATATTATATATCTGTGGTATATAATTATATATAGTAGTAGTTTGTTTTTACTTTTAATTAATATAATCAATAGCTTCTGTAGTAAATTCTTAGGGGGTCTTAGTCATTCTTTTCCACTGAAATGATTCCATTAATAAAATGTCAGTCTCAATTACTTTCTGAGTCTCATAGCTAGCAATTCAGTTACATTTTCTTCCTTCAGTAATAGTTACACAAGGCAAAAAGATTAAAAACAAATTTGTCTTTGAATTATTGAAGCACAGACTTGAAATAGCTATATAGCTATCTGTGACAAGGGGGATAAATATCCAGCCAATCCCTTTACACAGATCATAGTATCACTGCCCAATCAGAGCATAAGCAGTAGAGGTTTGGACCCAGCTCAGACTTTTTAAAGTGCAAATCCCAGGATCTTATCAATAGAAAGAAAGACAAGGTAAATGCTAACCATTGTACTTTTTATAATAAGCAAAACGTAACTTGGTTTGTAGAGTAAGCAAGTCTATTCACACAGTTTACCTGCAACAACACAATTCCTTTGCTTAAATAACACAGCTAGATGTGCTTAACTCATAGCTGTGCATGAGATGCTACTTTAAGTTTGACTGCTATTAATAATTTAACAATTGAAAGGACTCAGAGAATTAGCCCTCCGAATTTCTAGGCTGTTTTGCTTGCAGACACAACTTTCAGCTAACTCCAAGAGTGTTGTCATCCCTCCCTTCAACATATTAGTCATTTGAGACTTTTAAGGAGACTTAGGAGATGTAGAGGAGTCACATTTGCAGAAAAGTTGAGGATAGCTCAGAGACACAGTAATGCAATGCAAACTGACAGAAGACAACCACTGTTGGCAGAGTGGCTCAAGCGGTAAGAGCACCTGCCTAACAAGCATGAGACAGTGAGTTCAAACCCCAGTGCCACCAAGAAACAATAACAAAAAAAAAAAAAAAAGATAATCACTTACCTGGAACATGATCTTTTATGCCCTCCCAGAATTTAAACATGCTAGACTTACCCAGAAAACCTGAGACAGAGGAACAGTGTGGTACTGCAAGCCCCAGATCTAATCAGGAACAATGTTTTTCTCCTTTCACCAAGGTAAGGTCAGAATATTTCTGCACACAAAACAGACACCATAAAGAAAGAAACAGTCATGTGAGGTGGTGCCCATCTTTAATTCCAGCACTGTGGAGACAGAGGCAGGAGGATTACAAGGTCAAAGCTAGCCTGGGGTACATAGAGAGACCATGTCTGAAAAGAAAAAACAGAAGGAAGTAGGGCCACTGTAGGTAAAACCAAGCGGGAGGGCAGAGCTGTCTCTTGGTTAGACTCTACCTGTGCCTTGGCTCCTTAGTCATGCTGCTAGGACAAAGAGGAAAAGTACATAGGGCATTTTGCTGCCTCCTGGTCCCTCCTCCAGATGGGATGGGTGATAAGAGGCTAAAACAGCAAGAACAAAGCAAGAAATCTGCTTGGGCAAAGTGACAACCATGCACATTTGGGTCAACAATGATAAATGACAATAGCATCTCATGTGACTGATGTATAAAATTATTGCATAACACTGAAAGGTCCGTGTATTTGATCCAGCCCTCAGTCATTGATGAATCCTAGTCTTTGATTCACATAGAGTGTGTTTATCTATGCACAACTGAACAAGTAAGGAGTCTTGGAAATGGTCCTGTGGAATTTTTGGCCCAAGTGCATCAATTGGGTTTGGGGAAACTGAAGTCAGAGGAGGCTCCCCCTGGATTTCTGCCAACATTTAAATTTAATTAGATGGGTGACTTAGACAAAACATGCCATCTGAATTGAAGAGAAATATAGTATGTATATTCCAGTAAGGGAAAGAAAATCTGCTGTAGAATAAACATTTGTAAATTTTGAAAGTTTCATTTATTTTAGATTCCTTAAGATAATGTGACAAAGTCCACAAACTAATTCAATGTGAGTATCTGTGAGGAGATCTATGTAGCCTATTTTGTGATTTTTGTCTTCGTTGGAATATACTTCAAAACTCCTTAATCTTCATATTTAACCACTTTAGTCTTTTCTAGTTTCCATAGTGTCCCCATCCATCAATCCATATTGTTTTGGGGGGGAGGGAATATATACATCATATATCCCAAAAGAAGATAATTCTTCAAACTATCTCAGAAATTCATTTTAACAATTAAGAACCCTTAAGTTAAATAGAAAAATTCATTTTGCAGGAAACTTTGATTCAATGTGTATAATTAGTTTTAGTTAACTTTATTAATGAAATGTTGCAAATCAATTAAGTTTGCAAAAATCAGATACTGAGGACCCAAGAGGGGCTATTTCTCTCCCAGGAGGGGAAGGTGTTAGACAATTTTGCTGGGAAGCAAATGTAATTAGATTTGATTTGCTCAGAATTCCCGTCCTGATTGGAATCAGGCACCTATCTAAGACTGAGGATGTGGTTGGGAAAGAGACAGAAAAATTATTATGAC